AAGATTGACTCCTTGAGTACTTCTATGAGGAGAAAGGTGGGGTAGAAATTAAAACAATCAGCCAGCCAGCGAATGTGGTTCTGTTACATCTTTGGAGCAGAAGAAGACTGCTAACATTGAAAGCTGTGAGCTTACATATCCTGGGAGGAAGCCTTCCCAAGAATTGTATATCTATTTGCAAATTAAAAGGAAAAAAGTGTTGACATACTCAAACAGACAGAAAGGGACTTGTTAAGTTTGCAAAACCACAGAGAGATTTTCCGCATCATCACCATGGAAGAAAGCTTGCTTGCCAACTAAAACAGAGGGCATTTCATTCTTCTTCTGTGCTTCCTGGGACCAGCCTGCCTTCTTTTTAAACCACAGACTTACTACTACTAATTAATGAAGCCAAGGAATGTTTCCCTTATTTGAGCTGGAAATGTAATTTTTAGCCATGTGGGTAGTGACTGAAGAACATTTGTTGTTGTTGTTTAGTCGTTTAGTTGTGTCCGACTCTTCGTGAACCCATGGACCAGAGCAAGCCAGGCCCTCCTGTCTTCCACTGCCTCCCAGAGTTGGGTCAAATTCATGTTGATCCAACCATCTCATCTCTCCTCTGTCGTCCCCTTCTCTTGCTTTCACACTTTCCCAATATCAGGGTCTTTTCCAGGGAGTCTTCTCTTCTCATGAGATGGCCTAAGTATTGCAGCCTCAGCTTCAGGATATGTCCTTCCAATGAGCATTCAGGGTTGATTTCCTTTAGAATGGATAGGTTTGTTCTCCTTGCAATCCAGGTGACTCTCAAGAGTCTCCTCCTGCACCACAATTCAAAAGCATCAATTCTTCGGATTTCTTTATGGTCCAGCTCTCACTTCCATACATCACTACAGGAAAAACCATAGCTTTGACTATTCTACTTTTGTTGGCAAGGTGATGTCTCTGCTTTTTAAGTTGCTGGCGAGGTTTGTCATTGCTTTCCTCTCAATTTTGTGGCTGCTGTCAACATCTGTAGTGATCATGGAGCCCAAGAAATAAAATCTGTCACTACCTCCATATCTTCCCCTTCTATTTGCCAGGAGGTGATGGGACCAATGGCCAAGATCTCAGTTTTTTTGATGTTGAGCTTCAGACCATTTTTTGCACTCTCCTTTTTCCCCCTCATTACAAGGTTCCTTAATTCCTCCTCACTTTCTCCCATCAGAGTGGTATCATCTGCATATCTGAGGTTGTTGATATTTCTTCCGGCAATCTTAATTCTGGTTTGGGATTCCTCCAGTCCAGCCTTTCGCATGACGTATTCTGCATATAAGTTAAATAAGCAGGGGCACAATATACAGCCTCATCGTACCCCTTTCCCAATTTTGAACCAATCAGTGTTTCCATATCCAGTTCTAACTGTTGCTTCCTCTCCCACGTATAGGTTTCTCATTAGGAAGTTGTAAATCATCTTAGGAGTCATCTAGCCAAACCCCCTGCCAATGTAGGAATCTACAGTTAAAGCATCTCTAACAAATTGTTTGGAAACCTCCAGAAAAGGAAAATCCCGCACCTTTCTCAGGCCTGGTTTTGAAAACAGGGACCAGATCCTTTCTTAGAAGTAAAGTATTCTGTAGATGCAGTACTTCCTTCTGTCATTATTATTATCATTATATAGTAATACTTAGCTTGCTTAAAGTATTTTTAAGCAGGTTAAGCACTTATCCTAAATTAACTTATTAATCTTTACAGCAACCCTACAGCAACCTTAACCTTGAGTGTGGTCACTGGAGTTATTCCATTTTGCACTTTTTGCACGCACATGGGAAGCTTACCATAGCCATAGAATCATGACTCAAGTATTTAAATGAAGGCACATCATTTAGATTTGCTGGAAAAAATAGTACTTTTTTGTATTGAAATTTGCCATAGAAAGTGACAGGAACAAAATGTGTAGTTAACACTGACCAGGAGTTAGTTGCCAGGCAATCTGTGAATGTGTCCTAGACATTTGCTAAGCTCCAGTAATTGACAGAAAGTTGGAGGTCAGAGATGGCAGAATTACAGCCTCCTTTACTGAAATGAGCTCATACAGAAGTCCATCTATTAAGTGAGTCTCTGTGATGTCACAGAATGTTTATTAACATTCTAAGGCTCAGAGATAAACCGTCAGGGAAATTACATGGCGGTAAGAAATGAAGTATATGGTTAGTGGAAGGAGTGAAGAAAGCTGAAGAGGTTTGAATTTACTGTCAAACTAAAACAAACCCATGCATGCAATTTCAGAGACTCCCAATGCTTTTGTGGCATAAAATCATAAAGGCAGATGATTTGCATAGTAGATGTCAAATGTAATAACAATCTTGCTCAACGTAATTAACATGTTCTTTCTTTTATGGTTTTGGGAGAACATTGCACAGTATAGTCAACTTGCCTTGTTTTAAACAAACACACATGCCTCTAGAGTTTCCTGACTACTCTATTGACAAGTGCTTACAATGTATTTGCTTATATGCATATGAAGTGGGCATTGCACTAGTGCAATAACACGGATGGTAAAGAAGACCGGGGTCAATATTTCCTCATCTTCAAAGTCAGGTTGCCGGAGTTAGTGCTGGGATCTGAAATCCCACTCATAGACTCAGTTGTATTACTCAAGTAAATTAGCCCTCATGGTTTTATCAAGTGTCTTGTCTTGGAAATCCATTTCCCCAGAAGCCATGATGAGTCAATGCTGACTGAATGATGTCAGTATTCTCAACAGTTCTGAAGTCAATCCACAGGTATTTTCTTTTTTTAATATTCTGTACTAACACGGTGCAGTGATATTGGTGACATTTGAATTAATGTTGTGTCAAAAAGGATTATCTTAATTTAGGTAATCAAGAGAGGAAGGGGAAAAAAAGAATTGTATCCAAATCTAGTGAAAGAGGTGAGATGTTCCCAAGAAATATCTCAAGGTTTTATAAAGCTGGGTTCTTATTGTAGCAAATGATGTACAGTAGCTGAGGGATGCATTTTTGCATGTTTTGCAACTTATGTAGTTTTCACTTTGTTTCTTAATGGTCTGCTCCCATGGGATTTTCCAGTGCTGCTTCCTGCTGAGCATGTGGAAACTGAGTGAAGCGTTGTTGACAGTTTTTGTTAGACTGGTTCTGTATCTGTCAAATCTTTTTGATCTTCAGGCATTCAAAAGTCCAAAATAATGGAAAGTCCCAAGAATGGAAATCAGGAAAACTCCTCTAGTGATGGTGGTGGGGATTCCAGGAAACATGAGAAGGTTGTAAATCTCTGGAGAATGGCAACTAACAGATAAAATGAAGAGCATGTACTCTTAACTGCATTGTTAGAGTCAGGGAAGTACTTAATAATTGTAGAGGTTCAGGAAGAACTTCTCAATAGTTCTCAATACCTCTTGTAAAAGAAGAGAAAAATTAACTTCCTTTTCACCAGGAGAGCAACAGTATGTGAAGTGGTAGCTAGGGATTCAGAACATCACATACTTGAAGGGAGGTTGCTCCAGAGCAAGTTCATGTGGTGCATGATGATATTTCTTTCAATATTGAAATCTATATTAATATTATACAGTGGTGCCTCGCAAGACGAAATTAATACATTGAATGTATTGAAATGTAATTAATGTGTTCCTATGGGGAAAAAAGTCAGAAACAAAAAAAATTAAAATAAAGTCACTTACCAGGTACTGTAGATTAAGTCTGGCTCCTCATAGTGCCTTAGTAGCCCCTGAAAAGCCGGAAAAAAAGGACCAAACAGATGAGATCCCAGACCCAGCAGGGAGCCGGCAGTCATTTTGTGTTCTTCTCTGCTCCCACCCCTGCCTCACAGCTGATTGGCGCTGGGTCTTAGAGGCTTCCCCAGGCTAGGTAGGGAAAAAGAGCTGGAAATTAAAAAATGGTGCTTTCCCCCTGCCCCCAGTGAACCCTCTGAAAGTGGTGCTTTACTGTGGGGGCAGAGGGCCCTGCCCCCACGGCCCCCCTCCCCCACCCCAGCACCACTTTCAGGGGTCCCCCACCAGTCCTCAATTGGTGCTGGGAAGACTGGTGGGGGACCACAGCAAAGTACCGCTTTCAGAAGCTTCCCGGGGCTTCGTCTTGCGAAGCACAGCCATAGGAACATTGTCTTGCGAGGCACCAAAACCCTAGCCAGACCCATTCGTCTAGCATGTTTTTCGTGCACCAAAACCCTAGCCAGACCCATTCATCTGGCAGGTTTTCCGTGCCACAAGGCATTCATCTTGCGAGGCATCACTGGATATATACAAATATTAATATATATGCTACAGCTTCATTCCAACAAGGAATTCAGGAAAGTGAATTTTTAAAATCTTGTTGCTGTTGTGTGCCATCAAGGTGCCTCTGCCTTATGGCAACCCTGTGAACGAGCAATCTCCAAAATGTACTGTCTGCAACTGTTCTCCACAGCTCTTATAAACTCAGTCCGATGGCTTCTTTTAGGGAGTCAGTCCATCTCACATTTTGTCTTACTGCTGCCTTCCACCTTTCCCAACATTATTGCCTTTCCCAGAGTATCTTAATATACTTTTTCTTTTTTTTTAAAAAAAAAATCTTATTATAGATTTAATTGTTTTTAATATGGCATTTATATAGTATTTTAAACTGTGTTTATTTTATAGTTTCATCTGTTGTGAGCCATCTTAGGTCCCCTATGGGTAGAAAGGTGGCAAAATCAATAATCAATCAATCAATCAATCAATCAATCAATCTATCAATCAATCAATCAATCAATCAATCAATCAATCAATCAATCAATCTCACCAATATATGACAAATCTGCTCCAGTAAAAGAGGAAGGATTATAGTATTTGGTGCTTATACTTTGTGTTGCGTATATGGCCAACTCAATGTTCAAGATGATGGATTTAACCCAAGGTGCAGGTATCAAAACTTATGATGCTTGTCCTTTTCCTGCCATATACAATTAAAAAAATAAAAGCAACTTCCAGTTTTGACTGGATCATTCTTGTTGTTTTCTAGAACAAAGCCGTTTAAAAGGCAGCCACTGGGGCACTCCCACAGGAAACAGAAAAAACTGAATCAGTGTTGGGAATAATAGATCTGTTTAAAGTAAATGGTAAGAGAGCAAGACAAGTTTTTGAGTTTTTCGTTTGTTTGTTTGTTTGTTTCAGAAAATTACTGTTCCATTTACTGCAAAGATCTTCACCTTTATTTCTCTGTGGAGATCATACCACATCCTTCCACATCACAGTTTTCCTGTAACATAGAAAGTAATCTTTAGAACTGAAATGCTCACCTGCACAAATGCATATATATGTTTTCAACAGAGTGAAAAGTGAAACGTCTAAAGGCTAAGTCACCTTCACCTGCTTCACCTGCACCACCATGTACTTTGTAAGTAGGTTGGATTTTCCCAAGTTGGCACAATGAAGCATTCGCCACTTCCTGCACAACTAGAAGCCCTCTTAGTTACAATGGAGTGATTTTCATCCTGTGCAGCAGAGTGCTATGCTGGTGGGATATTACACTCACTCATACTCGTAAACTGCTTCGTTCTGAGCCAGACTCTTAGTCCAATAGTGACAACTGCAAACAGTGGCTCCTCTCCAAACTTTGAGGCATAATTCTTCTTTTTACCTAGAGATTCCTGATAATCCCTCTTGGCCTTCCATTAATGTACCAAATAGGCTGACCTTGCTTGGCTTCAGAAATCACATGCGTTAACCTGTTTTCTGGATGTTGCAGCAATGTTACTATACTAGGTTTCACCAACTGAGAAGCTTCAAACATCTGCCAGGACATAATTGCCGTAAGCACTTTGAAAGGTTCTCAGACTTACTGTATGTACATATACAGAGTCTATAGTAATTCATAAATTAGGTTTTGCTTTAGATCTTCAGGGTCATGATGTTCATAACTACAGCTGTCAAGAAACTGATCTCCAGGCCTTCTCTGAGATGATTTCACAAACTGTTAAACCCTTGCTAGAAGTCTTTTCTTGAACAATTTATCTATTTTTCCTCAGCTATTTATCCATGTCTACTTATTACTATTTTGACAGCCAAACTGATGTCAGTCTTGTGTGTGTGTGTGTGTGTGTGTGTGTGTGTGTGTGTGTTGAGGAAGAATGGTACAGAATGGTACAGTCCGCTCTCTTACGGATAAGGATGTTAAGAGATCTCACTATTGGCAAGTTTGTAGGCAAACCTATCTGTCTTGCTGAAACAGCATCTTTAGGATTCTCTAATCTCCTTGAGAGCTGGACCATTAAAAAAAAAAGCTGACCGCCGAAGAATTGATGTTTTTGAATTGTGGTGCGGGAGGAGGCTCTTGAGAGTCCCCTGGACTGCAAGGAGAACAAACCTATCAATTCTAAAGGAAATCAAGCCTGAGTGCTCACTGGAAGGACAGATCCTAAAGCTGAGGCTCCAATACTTTGGCCATCTCATGAGAAGAGAAGACTCCTTGGAAAAGACCTTGATGTTAGGAAAGTGTGAAGGCAAGAGGAGAAGGGGACAACAGAGGATGAGATGGTTGGGCAGTGTCATTGAAACTACCAGAATGAATTTGACACAACTCTGGGAGGCAGTGGAAGATAGGAGGGCCTGGCGTGCTCTAGTCCATGGGGTCACGAAGAGTCGGAAATGACTAAACGACTAAATGATGAATCTCCTTGAACGATCTTGCCTTTATTATAAAATTAAGCCATGATTTTGTTGTTGTAGTTTCCACAATTTCTGCAAAATAAACTTACACAAAAGTGGTGTCTTTTACCTTTGTGAAGGTAAAAGTATGCGCACACATGTATGTACGCACACAAACACATTTTAGTTGTGAGTTGCCTTGTTTTATTTATATGTGTGTCAGTATTTAGCATTTACTATATTATTTAGATTTAATTTCTTTTATGTTATATTATTTAATTTTGGATGTAACCACCCAGAGTAGTGTTTACCGCTAATTGGCATGGTATACAAATTTAATAAATAATTAATACAGAGAGACAGAAAAACAAAAACGTCAGATTGATAGATCACACACATACGCACACAAAACACCCAATGCTACTACTTTTACCTACCTATGAAACAAACAACAGTTAGTGTATTTTCCCATTTTGTGCATATTACAGAAACGTGCAAATAGAGTCTTGAAAATGCACAAAATTTCATGAAACTGGAAAAGAAAACCTCTTACTGTCTTGCACAGTCTTTGCACTGTGTTGTTTACTAAGTGAACTTGAACCAAGTCAAAATTTATATTCATAACTAGGTATCTAAAATATTTGTGTGAATAAAAACTACATTTTGGTACTACTTTTCAGCTGTATACATGGGAGACTCTGAGAAATCAAATGTAATGTTGAATGATTTAGAAGAGGTAGGCGTGTTGGTCTGTGCAAGCATATCAGGCAAAATCCAAAGAAGCAAAATATTTTGTTTCTTTGGATTTTGCCTCATAGAGTTGAATGATATTTCTCTTAGACTGTCAAGAACTTAAGCTGGAGTTCTGAACATACTTACTTTAAACAGAATGTTTGACTTAAATCAATTAAATTGGTAACAGATGAAATAGTGCACATCAGACCTATAATTTTTTGGTATAAGCAATCAGAAGAACACATTTGTATGGAGAATAACATAATGGTAATTGTACCATTAGGAATCTCTTTAAGTACCAATTCCCTTTCCCAGGAAGAAAGCTGTCACATCAGAGGCACACCTCAAAACACATGAGTTCTGCCTAGCTAGAAAGAAAGAGATCCATTGCCTTAACATCTTTTAATTTTACTTCCTTGTTTTAAAGCTGGGGGAATTGAACTTCCCCAACTTTCCCCATTTGCCAGACATAAGCTTTTAAATGTAACAGTAGGGAGGCCATATAATTCAGAGACTGAAATCCTGTTGGCATAAATTTATGCCACATAAACTGAATTACGTTATCATGTGGTGATGGAAGTCTTTAATTAAATAGAATTTTAAAATATCCATCTCCACCTTTCAGGTTCTAAGCCTTCTTGGACATCTCCCTTACCCTTTGAGAGCAAAAGAGGGAAGGGAAACTGCAAAAGGTGAGTGGGTTATGGTGCTGGGGAGGGAAGTGTGTGTTGGCCAGGGAAGGGAAACTGCAAAAGGTGAGTGGGTCATGGTGCTGGGGAGGGAAGTGTGTGTTGGTCAAGGAATGGGCAAGCGTGCAGGGGAGGTGGGAGGAAGAAGGGTACCGTGCCTGCACAACTCTGAGCGCAGTGACAAATTGGGCTGGACCTACAGACCAAAATTCACACCTATTTCTCTTGTAGGCCTATCAACTGTACAATTCTTTGCTTCTGGAAGAAGAACAACCTGACATCCTTATCACTGGCATTGCTAGGAGTGACAACTGAGAGTTGATGGTTTGGGGGAACATGAAAGCAGCGGGGGGGGGATCCCTCTCTTTCTTCCCACCCTTCCCACCCAGTGAAGAGAATGGAAACATGAAACATGGCAGGTCCACATAAGCTAGCACTGAGCCATGTGGCTGCTCCAACAATTTCATGACTATATCCTCTTAGTGTTAACAACTTGAACCCCATGAGCATTGAGGCAGAAAGCCCAATAAAAGTAACTTTTAGATGGCATACACAAAGGGTCATTTTGCTCTTGTTAGCTTCAAGTAGCAAAAAATACATTAGAATAGACCCCTCCCCTCCATATAAGTACCTTAGCACCAGGACTCTCCCTCCATTTTTCTTTCAACTGCCATGTTAAAGAGCCCCGTATGTCTATCTGTGTGAGTCTGAAAGTGAAACTGTAACAGGCAGCCCTGACCTCACTTGTCCGTCACAGCTGGGCAGTGAATCATCAGCCAATGGGGTGACGGAGGGTGGGGCTGAAGAGGGAGGAGCTGGAAGGAAAAGGAGTGTGAAGAGAGTGAAAGAGATCAGATCTGGAGTGTGAGAGAGAAAGAGCTTGTTTAGAGGCCTGCGTGCCTAAGTGGTCAGTGAGGGAAATCTGTGATTGATTAAATAAGATACAGTGATTGACATCTTGATTATATACCTGTGATTTACTACTTTTATTTCTTGTAATCAATAAATACTTTATTTGTTTTGAAAGAAACCCTGGTCCTTTTGATTATAAGGATAGGTTGGTGGCAGCAAGTTTTGAAGAGAAATAGTGGGCACTCTTATAGGCCTGGATGGGTAGAGGCTTGAGAGTGGCCTGCTACATATATATATTGTATATATTGTATACATATACATATACATATATATACACATATATATACACATATACATATATATACACATATATATACACATATACATACATATATACACATATACATATATATATACATACATATATATACTGCCGACACTGCTAATTCATTGCTGCATATTCATGTTGGTCATATTTTATTTTATTTGCATTGCTACCGGGCTTGAGTTCTTCTTGATCCTTTTTTTCTTGAAGTTCAATTAAGTTGTCTTTTGGACTTCAGGGTTCCTTTATGTTCAAAAGAAACAGTCTTGCACTTGATCAGTCTGTTGACTATGCTAGATGCTTTATCGGCATTTGGGGTACAATGAATGGACTAAAGTTCACTCAGCTTGGGTACTCAGCTGGAAAAACGCCCTGTAAGGTAGTGAGACTCCCTTCAGTCCCATAAACCAGAAAGTATTTGAAGAGTGGTTGCAGAGTATAAATGAAAATGGAGTGTACCTTGCAAGGTTGGTGTTATATCCTTTAAAACAAACAAAACCCCCCAAGTAATTTATGTAGATACTTTAGAGGCAGTTCTGAGCTACTGCATGGTTTACACTCTCAGTATTGAGAGATCAGCACATTTGTTTATTTGTTATAAGGCTCCAGATTATGCATAATAAGGGGAGGGTAGAATGTGGCCCTCCTTGTGTTTTTGGACTATATCTCTCAGTATTCTTTACCACTGGTGGTGATAACAAAGGCTGAGATGCAGTCCAAAACCATCTGGAGGATAGGGGCGCAGCTGGGCTATCCGCCAAAACCATCTGGACACCCCCAAGTTGCACTTTCTGTACTACAGCTTCTTAAGGCCTTAGGTTTCTTAAGGCCTCTTAAGGCTCAGATAATTAAATACAGTTGACGTGGCTTTGATATTAAGCCAGGCATGAAAAATAATTTAATTTGGCTCCATATCTCTGTGAAAATAGCCTTCTGACACCTCTTGAAATGTACTGTGAGAAGAAATGCACATCACCTCAAGGATACACACATTTGCAAGGCTAATAGGATGTTTTGGACAAATGAAATGTACCCAAAATGATGCGTTCCTTTAAATATATGAAGAGTTAAAAACTGCACAGTTGAAAAGAAACATGATAGTCAATGCGGAGAAATGTAAACATGCTTGAGACAATAGAGGGGAAATTGTAGATTAAAAAAGATGCATAGATGATTGCACACATTAGGAAAAATGTGTAAACGAGATGTGCCCAGACCTCCATACAGGATCCCTCAGTTCTGTGATCTGATGCTGTTAGGGCAGGAACAAAGATTCATGTATAAAGAAGTCCAATAAAACACAGACTGAGAAATTTCCACAACCCTATTTCTTGTCATTGCTTTGTGTCCCTCTTGTTATATTTACCACTCAGCCATATGAAGAACCCAACAGATTCACCTCTGTTTAGTGATCACAATTTGGTCCTAATAAAGATGTTTACTAAGTGACCTCACTTTAGGCCAGTTCCACATCATGACTAGACCATAACCCTGACAACCCAATGCTACAATACTGTTATCAACTTTAATACTAGAATCAAATTTAGGATCTATCTGCTCAATGCCTTCTGAACCATGATCTTCTTCCAACATCAAATAATTTTGATTTAATTTTTGCTTTTCCAGATTTCTAGTAGACATCAGTAGTGCACTTATAATTTTAATAGTTGTGTAAAAGCTCCTTGGTTCCTCATTTAGCTGTGCTAAAAATAAAAGGCAAGCAGTTATTTTAATTGTAGAGTACATATAACAAATTGACATAATTATAATTAATGCAGGAAAGGCTTTGAGAACTTTGGGAAGTAGGAAATTAACTCAAGACCCCAGTTTGTGATAAGATGTACTCTGTTCCACTCAGACACATACCTATATTCTATGGATGTAATTCCCTATCTATTCTAATTACCTAGTATGTAAATCAGAAGTAACCCACTGTGGCAAGTTAAAAGTGAAATAAAAACTTTCTGTATACTGATTTCCATCCAGCTAAAGTTTGTGATTATCGGCTATTTGTTTGTTTGTTTGTTTGTTTGTTTATTAAATTTCTATACCACCCATCTAGAATGTGTCTACTCTGGGTGGTTTGCTGTTGTTTAGTTGTTAAGTCCTGTCTGACTCTTCGTGACCTCATGGACCAGAGCATGCCAGGCCCCATCCTGTCTTCCACTGCCTCCCGGAGTTTGGTTAAATTCATGTTGGCAGCTGGCCGGTTTACATGTAACATAAAAATAAAATCCAGATTGATCACAGAGCCCAAGATGATAAAGAAAGAAAAGAAGAAAAAGAAGAGAGAGAGAAAGGAAAAGGGGAGATAGTCTCGGTAATGGCTATAGGGAAGGCCTGCCTGTCTTCAAGTTAGTCTTGAAGGCCCTCAGCGAGGCAGCCAGGTGGATCTCTACAGGTAAGTTGTTCCAGAGGCAAGGGCCACTGCCAAGAAGGCCTGATTTCTAGTTTTTTCCCACCGGGCCTCTCTTGGCATTAGGCCCCACAGCCACCCAGCCTGACTGGAGTGGGTGACATGGGCAGAACTAGACAGAAGAAGGTGCTCTGCCAGGTATCAAGGGCCGTTAAGGGCTTTGTATGTAATGGTTAGCACCTTGAAATCAATGCGGAAGCAGTTAGGTAGCCAGTGTTAGGTGGCCGAGGTGGGGAAAATATGGTGAAATCTCTTTCACCCCTGTTAATAGCCTGGCCACCGTGTTCTGGACTATCTGGAGCTTCCGCATCAGTCTCAAAGTCCCACATAGAGAGCATTACAGTAGTCTATTCTTGAGACTACAAGCGCATGGACCAGCGTGGTGAGCATCCCCACATCTAGATAGGGACACAGCTGGGCGATCCGCTGAAGATGTAAATGGGCAGACCGAACCACAGATGCTCAAAAAGAGGCAAAATTAAGTACCTATGCGATCTAACAGTTCACTGGTCATACTAGTGGGATTAAGGCCCAAAATTCCTACAATATACTCTTGCAACACAAGTACATTAAAAAAAAACTTTTTAAAAAGTTAGCATTTCATTTACGTATAATGAAGTAATTAGAAATATCCGGCAATATTCTAAACTTCTTTTTCTGCCTAACTTTTCAAAGATTTCTTGGAAAGATAATAGTCTTGAAAAGGAAGAAACAAAAGTACATTAGACTGGATATAAGAAGAGAATGATCCTAAGTAACAAGGAGGAACATCACAAGAAACAGAAAGAATCTGGACATTTATTACTAATGTAGAACAAAGTAGCATCGATAAATGACAACTTTGATGAGTCCTTATTGCAAAATTCCTTTCCCCTCATTAAATATGAAGAATAGGAGAAGAATACAGGAGCCAAAAGACAAATCTCGACATACAACTAATGAGTGACATAAAAATGAAAAGAAAAAGGGCAGATCAGTGCACTTGGGAAGGCTGCATTAGAACAGGAAACATAATTGATATACAAAAGGTCTTTCTGAAGGATCAAGAAGGGAACATGATGATATGGAGTACGTTGCCTGTTCCTTTGATTTGAAGAGCCAAATCACATTCCCTGATTCATTACCCAGGAAAGGCAGAACTGTCATTACCAAATTAAATATATAAGTGCATTGTAATCAAAAGGAGAAGTTTTATTGAAAAAATGTACTATGCATGTTCTGGAAGGAGAGAAAGGAGTGTCCATAAAGTAGTGTAAATGAAACCAAATTTACCTTGTGGGAAAGATATTTTAGTGAGGAAGTAATCACTCTCAGATTTTCTTTTCCAAGCATTGCCATGGAGAACATTGACAACTTTCTGTCCTGCAGACTTTCCACGTTCAGGTGAAATGGCTTCAGAAGCTCCCAGCTGAAGTCAGGGGATTATTTTCCTAGGATCTATATTAAAAACAAGAGGAATCAACTTGGCTATTGTGTAGAGTAATAGCTGCACTCAGAGTTATGCAGACGTCCTGTTGGATTTCACCACTGTGTGAAACAACACCAGAACAATGCCACTTGTGCAAATAGAAGTCCTCAATGGGATTCTGAAACCTAAAATTTAGACATACCTTACCTAAAGGACAGTGTCATCTACATTCCCCTTAAACTAGAACTCAGAAGCCATGGGCCCTACTGAATAAACTCTTAATCCCATCATTTCTTATCAAGGACCAATTTCCTGAGGGCTTCTGGGAACTGTAGTCTAACCACATTGCCAATTCTAACTAGAGATGGGTACACACTGGAAAAAGGGTGGTTCGTGATGGTTTGAGGTTCACTGTTAATCACAAACTGCAAACATTCACACACATTTTGTCAAAACAAACCGTGTTGTGGTTTGTGCAATTTGGAGTTTCCTGGAG